TTCTTTTGTGCGCATTTTTTGAATGAGGCTGATTTCGATTGCAAATTGCTTTTTTTGCTCATTTTTTCCCCTTCTGATGGCAGAGGTTTGCTAAACAATTACAGATTGGGCATGGTTAACTCTTGATGCTCTTCAGGAGTGGCAAAATTCGCTTCCGGAGCGCTAAATTTGTTTCCAGCAGCAGTTTCACAGCCGACGCCAGTTGTTCCATTAATCGTTTCGCAAGCCGCTGCTCCAGGGAATCTCTTCGGTCTTAGGCCATTGCTTCCTGTGCCATGTCCAGTCACACAGGTAATTCTGATATGCAATATAATAAAACAAATATAAACAAATTTAAGCTGTCGAAAATTAGCAATTTACACCCCTCTGTCCACAGCGGTATCATTTATAGTCAGCTCAATAGATACTTGGTTGTTGAGTCCTCTTATCAGGGATTTATCACATCCGCTCATCGTCTTCCTCTCCACTACTCCCATAAAGGATTTTCTTCTCACAAAATTAGTCGTCTAGTGAACATATTTGTACGCAGAAATACCAACCAGTTTGCTAAGTATTTCCCTCCTACAGTGGCCCTGTGTCAGCAGCTGATACGCACTCTTCTACAATAATTGTACCACCCAAAATGCCCGCATACGTCGCTTTGTTAACGTTCCGTTCATATAGCTACTTCCTCCTCTCCATACTTTTCCACTTCACATTGCAACTTCATAATCTTTTCCAACTGCTCCAGAATTTGATATAATTAAATAATCTCCCTCCTATGTTTCTCTTCTTCTCTTTCTGTCTTCCATTCCTTTCTTTTTCCAATCTTCTCTGAACACTGCGACCGTCATACTGACGAGGTCCAATCGTGGTTTTGAGCTAATATGTATATGACTTAATGGACCGAAACGTCTTAACTCTTACTCACTTATTTTTCCTGCACCAGCTATTTTTCTACATCTATACATACACAGTTCTAGTCCTGCCCTATTTAAGTTCTTAACATTACTCGTATGCTACAACCATGCAAGAATCAGCTTAGCCGTTAAAGTTTTTGTGTTGCAATAGCGAAAAGGATGTGAAGCTTAATCGGACAAAATAGTGAAAATATAATTTTCAGTGCCGAAAATGCCATTTTTCATCTTTTTTTTTTCATTAATTGAAGAGACTGGCACAGCTGCGCGTCGGTATTTGGAAATAGTACTGTAAAATCACTGGCATGAGATCTAAAAGGAAGTTATTTGGAAGATTTTGATATAATTTTTATTTTTTTTATTTTTCATTTTTTTGTATGGTCGCTGATTATGTATTTACAGTGTCTCATTTATTTTTGGTATTTTATTTATTTGATTGTAATCCTAATATTTTATCGCAATGGCGAATTAAGCATGAAAAAAAGTATGAGCTTCAGCGTAATCAGTGCAGTGTTGGAAGTAATTTAGTATTAGATTATTATTTATTCCCTCACTTCACTCGCTCACCACTGCTGGCCAGTTGGGCACCTCCAGCCTTATTGTGTATAAGTTATTATTACTAAACTAATTAGATAATAATATGAACTTGTCGATGCATAAATTAATTTCACTTACTTTGAACGAAGTACCAGTATATTATCTGTAATTTCTCGCTTCTTAGTTTTTATACGAAAACAGCGCAGTTCTTAAGCGGAACATCTTAAACCTAGTTTGTAATGATGCTAGTTCAACAGTAGGAGTAATGAGAAGACCAAATAACATACTTCTAACTACTTTTTTTTCGATAAATTCAATAAAATGGGACTTATACTGACTTTACGTATGTTACTTATGAGAAAGTATGTGGTACCACTTGCCGATATTCGAAGGATTAGCAAAAATAATGGGGCGCCTGGCGGGTGGATGCATCCTCATAACAGCTGTAACATGAAGTGCTGATTGTCCTAGTGATCTTGGTAAATTTACGGCTTTAAGATATTTTCTCCTAATTAGATATAGATGCCTTTTTTCGGCTAGTAAGTTGGTGAATCAAATTATTTTTTATGCCTTATGTTTATCATCGAAATGCATGCACTTATGTATATAATCAGGCAGGGCATATTTGGCAATTACTAAAACACGGTTCAGCTCGGCAGTTACTCTGCATCTCTGCTAACGCTATTTCACGGCAAGTCTCATTAATGTCGCTTGGCAGTTTGTAAGGTATGCTAGGTAGCGATACCAGGCGTTCGACTATTAGGTCGCGTGCGCTGGGTCAGACTGATGGGGAATTTGGTAGATAGGTGTCCGGATACAGCTCAGGGGGCACGGAATAAGAGGAAAATAGATGAGGGGAACAAGGAGGCTAGCGAGAAGTATGGAACAACCAGTGGTGATAGTGGTTGGCTCTACAGGCAGGGTTTGGGAACAGGACAGAGGAATTGGACAAGCTTATTTATGAATCTGTTTGTGAAGCTAATTCTTCAGCTTTACAGCGCCAGCTTCTTAAGTGAGGAAGTCCTTTGATGTTAACGGGATTTTCGTTTGCTGAAAGATCAGCAGTAATTTCCGTACTTATGAATCTGATGCTTAGGTAGAACTGAGAACTGTCAGTTTTACCTAAGCATTTACTTCAACTTATTCGCTTTCAGCTTTACCTAAGCATCAGCTTTGTAGATTCGATTTTCCATTTGCCCTCCTTGATTTTACTTCTGTTCTTGCTTTTATTTTTTTCTTGCCTTTCTCTTTTCCACCCATCACCTTTTCCCCTCTCCTTTACATGGCCTACGCAACTGCCAAAGGATCTACGCCACATAACCATTCAATGTTTTCCGCTAAAATTTCCACGAACCCGTACGTGAGAACCACGCACACCTGAGGGCTGAATTCGGAGCCTTCAAGTTGTGCGTGGACTAGGCACATCCCCTTAAAATTACAGCCCCCTAGTTTTTCTGATTCCCGAGTTGGCGATTTTCCTACCGAAACTTTCACGTATTCATACGCGGTACCCAGACAAGCGGGAAGTTGGCACCCGGTCCTGAGCGGCACTTGACTGGGGAACTTCCTGGCAAAGTTTTAGCGCCGGATTGTGCTTAGTTGCTGAGTTGAAATACCCGGACAGACAGACAGACAGACACACATACACACAAACATACACACACACACGCACGCACACCAATAAAGTTATATTCTACTTCAAGGTCCTCGTTGTCAGTAGCGAATATGCTAGTGAAGTCTACAGCTGCTTGTTCGTGTTATTAGCTTATTATCTAGTTCTAATTCTACAATAAAACATTGATTCGTAATTCACCGTAGTGGTATTCTGAAGGTTTTGCCTCATACATGCACATCCAGGAAAGATTGGTAGTATTTACAGGTTGCCACCAGCATGCCAAACATTCGTTATGGAGTATCGCCAAGCACTGCTCCAACACCGCTGTTTCCGAACACATCACTTCGTAAGTATTTTAATACTTCGATTAACTGTTTTTATGCGTTTTGTGCTGTGTAATAGCAGTACAAAACGCATATTGTTACGGGGTTGTCTGTGTG